AGAAGAAGAAGAAGAAGAAGTAATTTAAGGTGCCCAACGGTTGATCGGAAATAATTACTCGGCTTAAATTATTTATAAAATTTTAAAAAATCATAATATGTAATAAAATTAAAAATTTTCTTCCATATATTTTAAGAAAAAATTGTAAGTAACGTTTTGCGTTAAAGTTAATCAAACAAAAAAGAGTTACAAGCTGTCCTTTGAAACAAGTAACGAATAGCGTTTCTTTTCTTCAAAAAAAGTAACACTTTTAGTAAACGACGTTACTTAAAACCAGTTTTAAGATGTTCTAACCAAATCGATATTAATATTTTTAAGAACCGAACCTGAGTCGTCACTTTTATTTGAACCCACACCTGAAGTGATATTTGCTTCGGTTCAGATCCCTAAAGATAAATTTTTGAGCACGGCACGAATAAACAGACCTAATGCAGATTTCTATATATTTTTGTTAAACAATCCCTTAGAGATCGAATCTCGGTCTCAATCTTTTCAAAAAAATAGTATCTCACTCCAGTATCGAAATCTTTTTTTAAAAAAACGTCATGATTTCGATCATTTTAAATAGTCGATAGATAACAAAAAAAATTAATGCGGCATTTTTTCGATGAATAGGTGGTCTAAACTAACTATCTATAAACAAAAAAATTGATATTATTTTATGTACTTAAAACTCAAATAAAAGAGCGGTGCTCTCAGTAGCGGGAGCTAGTTCTTCTTGGAATTATCAGAAAGGGATTAAAAAGGAGCGTTAACAACTCTGCTAAATATGATATTGTTTGATTAGATTTGATTCTAATAATTTTAATAAAAATATTGAGGAAATTTAAAATTCTGGTAGCCTTAAGAATTAATTAATAAGATTTCAACTCAATTAAAAAAAAAAATCCTTATAGTGATATTCGATTAAGTATAGTGCTTTTAATTTAACCCAGCCCTTTAATTATAGTTGTTTATTTTGGTGTTCAACTAGAAATATTTCAGGTTAATGCGGATTTTAAAAAACCGGTCGAGCTGGGAAACTTTATTGAAAAATTGATAGCGAGCCGGGCGTGGTAAAAACTAATTCCCACCGGGCAGGGCTGAGAATCTTGCCGTTGGCACACCACCGCTACATATATATTTAGATTCTTATTGAAAAGAAAACTAATTATATATTCAAAATAATTGTAATTTTATAATTATCGTGTGATATTTAAATTTGCCGGACATAAAGATAATTTTGAATTTAACATCAACACCGGCGTAGAGAAAACCTTTTCAGTGCTATTTATCTCAAAGAATATGGCATTCTTGCTCACTTAAAATGGAATCATAATCTGTGCATGTTGTAGAATGTTTATTTGCTAATCTAGTCAAATATTCTGTATTTGATCTTTTGGTTTTCAATCTCTACTCTATAAATTTAAGATCTTTAATAATAAATTCCGACGATGTGCAATTTCGCGCTATTATATATTTCGACATAATTTTAATTTTTGAAATCTTGAGGCTAGAAGAGAAGCAACACTTATATAATTCTTGAAATAAAAAATAAATTAAAATACTTATTTAATATTACTTGCAGATCGCAAACAGAAAATCATAACGCAAGTTTTTTAAATATTTATCATAAGTGAAATAATTTTAGAGCTATCATTATCATTTATTATTAAATATATTTTATTTTACTTCTGATAAGGTCAAGTTTAATATGGGTCATTTTTGTGTTAGAAATTCAACTTTCTCTTTAAATTTCGAAAAAAAATTAAATAGTTCTTCAATAAGATCCGATTCATAGTAAGTTTGAGATATTGCTTTCGAATTCTTTTCAAAACATTATTAATGATATTTTTTTAGCTCCAGATGTGCTTTCGAGCGTAATATACAATGCCATCTTTGAAACATTTAATTTTAATGTTCTCATTTTTTTTAAAACTATCAATTATCTATTTACTAATTTCCAATTATATACTCCGTCTATTTAATATTATAATATCTTTTTAAAAAACTAATATAATATAATCTATATATATATATATATAACATTTTTTATATTATAATTGTTTTGTTATTAATTACAACAATTTTTTTTAATTTATGAACATCCGTGAGCCTATATCGGAGTGATTTTCATACACCGCCGCGTTTTTCACAGGTCTAACTCTACCATGATTAAGATTTTGATTATCAAAAGGTAATGTTAGTTAGATTAGGGCAAATGGAATATATTGATTTATTCTAAATTTAATAACTTTCTAATTTATAAAATACTTGATTGAAATATTATTTGACGCCTTAAAATAGCATGAAAGTTCACCCTTCACTACAAAGGTGGGGTCTATTTTACCCCAAATTTTGATTAGCTATATCTCAGAACATATTAAAAATTGAGATCTAAAATTTTGAGTATATATTTAAAAAATATTGGAGATAATAAATACAAAATCTTAAATTAATATTTACTTCCAAAAAAAAGTTAGACATGTTGTTATACAAATAATCATCATCTGACACAAAATCTACTTCACCTATATAAATTTTATAAATATCAAATATTAAATAGAAAATACTTCCAGAACTTGATGATATTAAATTTTCCATATGCTAATTTTATAGTATTTTGCTAATAGTATAAAATTTTATATTTATCAATAAAAAAAATTGTGAAAAAAAAAAATTACTAAGGTGGGACCTATACTACCCCAAGCTCAACAAATTGCAAATATTTTAAAAAATATCAAATCAATTATCTTGAAATTTGGTAGATATATTCTTTATAAGAAAATATTAAACTATTATAAAAACAAGGTCAAAATATCTTCAGGTTTTTTTATTACCAAGATTATAAAAGCCGTGGGGTATTATTTACCCCACCTTTGTAGTGAAGGGTTAAAAGAGAATTTTAGGAATACTAAACCTACCACAAAAATACCTAACATGGCCCGCCACCTGTCACTTAACCAGATCTGATATTTAAGTTATGTAGTTTTGCACTTTTTTTAAAAAATTACTCTTTTCATAATTTCTATAACTTTTTTCAAAATTAGTATTTATAGATAAATAATGCAGGAATCCGAACCGAAATCAATATCGGGTTGGTTTAGGTAAAAATAACGATTCTGATTTCAGGTTCGATTCTTAATTAATAATAATATAAGTTCGGTTCGAACCTCTAAATGTCGGTTTGAACTATTTTGTATACACATGAACATAAAATGTTATATAGTGAAGCGCGCATCCATTTTCATCATTAAATACACACAATAAAATGTTTATTTTATTACCAATTGCACATTATAAATAATATCAAATGTATAAATTATAATAATTTTCCTAAAAAAGTAATGAGATTAAAATATTTCCTAGCTCAGCCATATTACATCTGTATTCAATATCAAATCAACTAAAGATTCACCACCCTCTTCTATTTTTTTGAAAATCTGTATGATTGTAGTATATACAATAACTAGTAAGAATATAAAATTTTAATTCCCAACTCAGCTTACTTCCTGAGATATGGCCATCTTTAGAAACGCAAAAATTACAAAATACATTATATTTAATTTCAAAATCTAAAATAATAATTAACCTAAAAACATAAATTTTATTAAATAGCTATAGCCATTTAATAAGATATAAAATTTAAATTATTGAAAATGAGTCTATTACCAAAAACCGGAAATAGCTATAAAAAGAAAAATGCTAATTATTTTTCTAATTTTTTTTAATAGATATTATACTCCCTAATATCTGTAGAAAATCCTAGGCTCAGATAAACATTGGTCCAAGAGATTTAGCACCTTAAATATGGTCATAAGGCTAAAATCGTTTATAAAAATCATTTATATTTAAAATATGTAGTATTTTTTTAAATTTTCAATAAAAAGAAAACTTATAATTCAGACATGTAAAAAAAATAGAACGGTGGACATTAGAGATCTCTTGATTGGGCTCAATATTTAAAAAAATCGGAACGGGTCGGGCTTAAATTTTGAAATGAAATAAATATATTTTAAAATTTTTGCATAAAACAAGTACCCAATATTTTTATTTGTTTATATGATGATCATAAACTCGATTTTGTTCAGTGTAATGCAAAACTATTAAAAAACAATATTTTCTAAATCTAAAAAAATTCGAACCGGGGACAAATAATTTTTTTTAATAAAAAAATATTGTCTGGGATGGAGCCATATTATTTTATTAAAAAAAATTCGGACTGGGCTTGAAAAATTAGGCCCGATGATCAAGTGGATATTGTATCGTATTTAACATATAAGTTTTGCTATTTTATTTTAGGAAAAAAATATTTATAACTTTATTTAGTTAATTATTTATAATACATGAAAATCAATGGGAAATTAATATTAAACCTAAATTTGACTTTCATATTTTTTTCGAAATAAATGCATAAAATTTTAATTCAATTTAACTTCTTTTTTTAAATTTAAATATAAAATTAAGTTAAAAAAATTTAAAATGTTGTAAAATTGCACTTACCAGAATTTATAAAAATTGCAATATATAAAAATTTATAAAAATGGTGAATGTGATTGATAACAATCTTAACAATTCGAATATAAATTAGAATTTCATCCATATTACTCGTTAATAACTTTCACATTATTTTAAATGTATAAAATCATGAGGTTCAAACCGGATCACAAGCATTTTTAGCAGTTCAGGTTTGAATAGAAAATTATTTAACGGTTCAGATTTGGTTTGATAAAAATAATACCGATTAAAGGTTCTGTTCGGTTCTCTGAAAAAATGATTTTGGAAGAGGAACCGAAAGAAGTCGGAGAGTGGGGAGGGGTCATTAGCTTTTAATATTTTCAAAAGCTTGCAAATTTAAAGAAGTCCCTGCCCCTCCTCCTCTAGGTTATGCCAGTGAGACAGGTCAAGATTATTTTTTGTTCCAACTATAGCACATAATAATATTCACACTAAATTTTATCAGAATAGAAAGAGGTTGACCGAATATCTATAATTTTGCTTATTATCTCAAAATAAATTACGAAATCAGAAAAGGCGTTATCCCACAATATACTGGCCCAGGCGTTTGCTTCTTGATTTCCATGAACGATAACTACAATAGGCAAAGAGAGGGTCTAATTTTATTTTTGTAAATTAAAACATTTTCAATTAAATGTAAAGTAATAACTCACTTATATCTACTGCTTATTCTATTCTAATTTACTTAGGCTGATTGGGCTATCACCTTAATAATACTATATAGTCTAATAAAATAAAAGATATCAATAATTGAATGTTTTCATAAGTATTTTTGTCTAAACCGATTTAAATAATTAGTTTCTAATATGTTTTATAAATGTTTAAGGTTAATATAGGAATCCTATTATTTAACGATACTCGGGTTATCAATCAGTATCGGTATCGGTCAATATTTTAAATTTTAATTGGCTGATACTTAAAAATGATACATCTTTACAAATAAAAAAATAATTAGTCAACATTATATGATATTTTAAAAAAATTCTAAACCAATAAAAAGGAAAGAAGGTGCCATAAATTTTTTTATAAATAAAAAATAATAATATTTATGAAACTTATACTTTTTTTCAATAAATTTAAATATTCTACATTATCATTTTTGGTATCAGTATCAAGTATCAACCGATACCATGCTAGCATCGGGTTGGATATCGGATAAAAAGGTAATATTGGTACAATAATGATTAGTGTTCTTAAGAATATTGGTTAACTGCCGTTATCATTGGCGGATAAAAATATTATTATGTATTAAATCATGGACATTAAAAATATATTCCATATATGAATCTAGGAAAAAAATAAATTTTTAAATTTATTTTTGATAATTAAAATTTTTATTTGAACTGTATTTAAAAAGGTAGGGGAGACGGGAGCATGCGAGCCTTAAAAGGCAAACGTCAATAAAATTAAAACTACATAATAATATTAAATAAATAATATCTCATTTTATTCCACTTATTTACTTTTATGCTATATATATTGTTATGTTCTACCTCCCCCGCCCACTTGTCCCGTACAACTTATTTCTTTTCTTTACGTTTTTCTCCACTTGTTTCTTTTGTTTTCCCATCTTCCTTTATTATGTTATGAAATTGATATATTACACCTTATTTTTATATTGCATTTGAAACTGGTTCTTACCAGTTTCATGAATGATTGTATCGCGATTAAATAACAACTTTTTTTTTCCTTTTTGTTTTAAAAATTATAAAGGTTGAAAACAAACCACCTTTTGCGAATTAATTATTTTTCTTTCGTTTTGGAAATTTATGTTTTTTGTAACATCGATTTTACTTTGTTGAATAAACTTTGAAAATATTATTTTAACTACGTTGTCCAAGTGATTCCATGACTAAATCGATAAAACCCGGCCCCCTGGATCCCGTCATCGACCATTCCGGACCCCCGATCACGGACTGTATTTTTCCCATTCAGACTGGGGGACCCATCGGCCCAAATATTACACATATAAATTATTTTTTAAAAATTATACTTTTTTAACAATATTAATTTTTCCAAAAAAAATATTTGGAAAAGGATGAGCTACACCCGGGAAGATGAAATCTCCCATGAGCGCTTTTCAGCTGCTAATATTAATTAATTTTATATAAAAAAATGATATATATTATTGCAACTAGTGATCTGCATAGGGCCTAATTTTTCAAGCCCGGCCCAAAAATTTTTAAAAAGGTTGCCGGCCTGGCCCGAATCCGAAATTTTTTTAAAAAAAATTTACCGACCCGGCCCCGAAAATATTTAAATATAGAAATTAATTTTTATAATTACTCAAAATAAAAGACATATGTTATATGCCGTTTATTTTCAATAAATAAAATCAAATATTTTTATTTTACATAAAAAATTCAATATAAAATTGATATATTTAGATATATTTTAAAAAATTTTCAAGGTCCGACCCGACCTGTCCCAAATTTTTTTTTAAATATTAGGCCCGGCCCGGTCCAGCCCGAACCCGATTATTTTAAATAGAATTAGGCCCGCGCCCGGCTCAAAGTCCCTTAAGGCCGGGCCGAGTACGGGCCTAACTTTGCAGATCTCTAATTGCAACTACAATAAACCATAATGGAAAATAATTTATAAAAATTTAGTGCAATTTAAACAAATAAAGAATGGATTAAAATTGCAATAGGATTCTGTGAAAAAGTGCATCTAGGTAAAATAAAGACCCATAAACAAACAATTAATTAATTTTATTAAAATTCCGCAAAATATTAGGGAGAAATATTCTAGGAATAAATATACAGTTTATAAAAGGACATTGTATAATATTGAGAAATTTAGCTATGAAGGAATTAAAAAGAGTGCAACTTCTGAATCTATAAAACATTAAACTTTTCATTCCTATAAGAAATGATTATACAATTACTACGGATAATGATGCTAATTTTGTAAAATCAATTAAATTATTAAATGAACGTTTACTTAAAAGGAAGGATGATATAGACGATTGATAATTATGATGACACAAATGAAATTAATTTACAGGAAATAAAGATTTCTCCATAAATATATATTGCATAAGATGTGCAGCATATACTACACAATTGGCTATTAAAGATTGTCTAAAAAATATTCACTTTAAACTATCAATAGTAAGGCATGTCGCAAAATATATAAGAACTCCAACAATTGCAAGAATATTAAAATCAATGAAAAGATTAATGGCAATATTAGGTTGTACAACACGTTGGTTTTCAATTTGTATGAAGCTAGAAAGATTAAGTTTGAAAGATTTCTGTACTGATTTTATTATAGGAGTATTTGAAGTCGTCGGAAGATGATTGGTGCCAAATAAAGGGCCTTACTAATGTATTATTTCCTTTAAAAAAAACAACTTAGATTTCTGATTTTTATGGCATATGGATTAGATGCCGATTAAATCTAGAAAGATTTACTAGTCCTTTTTCATGTCAAATATTAGAAAACAATGAAAATTCGAGAGAAAAAATATTGGAATAGTGTTGTATACGCTTCTATATGTTTATGGCTAAAGACCATCTTAAGGATTTATGGCATACACAAAACTCCATAATTTATTGTAATGATAATAATGATAGCAATATTAATGATCTTGAAATTTTACTTTATAGAGAAAAAAATCAAATTATTATAAGATAGAAAGGAGGAACAAAGAATATCTATTACATCTTAATAGAGAAAAATGTTTTAAAATTCTGGAAAGAAAATTCTTCAATATATTTAGAATTATATATATTGTCTAGAATCGTCAAGGCTGTACTGACGACACAAGTACAATAATTTGTGTATTATAAAAATAATTATCTATTTTAGGTCAACGTATCTTTGAAATATATATTGTCTTATTTAGGTGGAAATCTCAAGGATGATATTTTAGAAGATATTATGATTGTGCAATTGAATGAAACATTTAAAATATAAAATATTTCATTTTTAAATTTTTTATGTAAATTATGAATGTGTATATGAAGTATAATAATAAATTAATGAAAAAAAAAGTTTTATTTGAGTTCCATTTTATGTTCTCTAAATCCTGAATCTAGACCCCTTTTATAAAATTTTATTCCTGTACCAGAATCCGGACCTTTTTTTGTTGAAGGATTCACATCCCTGGTGTTTTTCCATTATGGGTTTATGTATATATTTATTTTATTTGCATTATAAATATTTTTCCATAATATTTATTAAAATCAGAATCTGAACGGTTTGGTTTATATTGGCAAAATCATATCAGATCGACCTACTTATTATAAAGAGTTTTGTATGCTTTCCATTCTTAACTTATCTTTAGTCTTCTAGCAATGGTTAGACCTGGAAATTAATCTCAAAAATATTATGGAATCCATTTTAAATCTAAATTCTCATCCTTTTCTTGGGTAAGCCCTTCCACCAAATCTAGGTGATCTAGGTCTTCATTCTATAAAAATATAACTTTTAATCAAAATTTTATGATTTTTTTAATTATATCATAATTTTAGATTTTAGTATTCCCCGTCATCTTTATCAATACAAGAATATAATTTTTTTATGACCCTATTTTTGCCCTAGTATCCCATTATTTGGTTAAAATGCCCTTATTTTTTTTTACTTACCATCAGATACATCATTTAGTAAGCTATCGGTTAAAGTAACTAGTAAAAATTTAAAATATTTACAAGTTATATGATATCCGGTTTTATTAACCCGGTCTCCGATGCCTCAGGTTCTTGCCATTCTCTCTTGGCTAATACTCTTGGAGACCGATCTATCTTATATAGCAGCCTTGGAGACATGTGAAGCAGAAACGTTCCTAACATATATTGGGATCTACTATTAGCATTATGTTTAATATTTTCACTTGAGTTGTCTAAAAGTACTATCTCTTTGTCTCTATCTAAATCCGATCCACAGTAGGCAGAATGTCTAAATAACTAGGCTATGAATGGTTACAAAATATATTCGATTCTAATCTTTACTCACCAATAAAAAGCTGAGAATAGCTAGAGGGCTATGATTAGGTTGTGATATTGTAACCTCTACCTCTTATATACTTAGCAATAAGCAAAGCGGTAGCTTAGACCATTGACACGCTATTGTCAATTTTCAAAGAGAAGGCTTCATTAGATACCTTGGCATAAAATAGTAACTATATCCCTGTGATCTAAAATCATTTTACCCATGTGCCATCCGGTTTCAGCCCCAATAGCCTAACCAGACCTGACATAACATTCGTCCACTGGAAAGGCTTACCCCTCGCTTGGGACTAAATCTGTGAAGGTCACGCAAAAATTATACAAATAAAAATATTTAACCAATCAATCGTATCAGAAATTTCCGGATCATTTCGACCACAGGCCCTTCAAATAAATAAATATAAGAGGCAAATTTTAAGATTAATTATGAGCGCAAATTTTTATCTGCGATAAAGAATCTCTATTGAGATTTATAGCTCAATACATTTCAATTCAAAAATCATTGAAACTCATCTGTTCAATTTAAATATTGTTATACCCATTCCATTTTTTTGCTCGTTATGTTTTTTTATAATTTTCTAATCGTCCTATATAAATTTAAACTTAGTAGGTATTTAAAAATATTTTCACATAGTTCGGACATTTTACTTTAAAAATAGGAAGAGAAATATGAATACGATATATGTAAATTTTACTGATGTGTTCAATATTCTAAAATCATTTTTAGTATTAAAGTAATTAAAGTTAGGTGATTTAAATAAAATTTAGTGGTGTATAAATGCATCATTATACACCTATCAGTATAAACCTCTAAATTGGCTTGGGTGATTAGTAAGGAAAATATTGCCGGAGGGAGGCAAGCGCTCACTTCTCTGCCAAAATTTTTATTTTAATAAAGTATGGTATTTATTTAAATCTTTTTAACATATTTATTGAGATGAATATTTCTTGATTTTTATGTTTTTTCTATTAACCATTTATTATCTTTGATAAAAAAATTCAATGAATCATTTTCTATCGATTGAACAAGCACTTGCTTAACTTTTTGAAGAAGAACAACTAAGGAATGAGATAATTATAATTCTACCAAACCCAAATTTTTCTGCTTTTGTCGAGAAATACAAGAAAATATAGAAATCATTAATTTACAATGTCTTTCTGCTAGCATTACCAATTTTATTTTAAAGCAACCATAAATGACTCATTCCTTAATGTTAACCATGAAAATGATAACGATATTCCAGAGACATCAACTCCAAAAAGTCTTTTTATAATTTCTGGTAATTTAAAAAGGAGGAAAGTGGATGTATTATTTTCTGCAAGCCCTTTCATAATGAGAGGAAGATTTAATAAAACTAATATGCAAAAAAGTCCATAGAATATATTTATTCTTAAAAAAAGTATATTCTCTGATTGTATAAAAAGTCTTTTTATAATTTCTGGTAATTTAAAAAGGAGGAAAGTGGATGTATTATTTTCTGCAAGCCCTTTCATAATGAGAGGAAGATACAAAACTAATATGCAAAAAAGTCCATAGAATATATTTATTCTTAGGAAAAGTATATTCTCTGATTGTATAACAAAACAAAGTAATATTTATGCAAAAAAATAAATAAAGGCAAATATAAGTTTATCAATTCCATATATTAAAGGATTTATTGAGGTCCTATTACTGAATCATACTAAAAACATAATTTATCAATAAACGGGCAGATGATAATCTATCTAGGAACACATTTATTTACAAGCTTCATCAAAAATCGTTTAAGATTGGATTTTGGCTGATTGAAAAATTTAAGCAATTTTGTCTGTCAGAGAAAGATTGACCATTAAAGGGTTAATAGTTTTTAAATGTTTATTCTTATATAGCATATACTAATATATAATGTTATTTATAAATAGTAATATCATTATATCTTTTCAATTATTTGTTATAAAAAAAATTATATTACGTGCATATTTAGCATTTAAGTTTGGAACCTAGAGTAATAAGGATTCTGATTTTGGTTCCAAGTTCAGGTTCCTAAAATTTGGAAAAGTGGATTCTAGTCCGGTTCTTAAATTTGACACAAACTGAAATAAAAAAATTTAAACATCACACTTTATTATTTAAAAAGGTTTATATTTATAAGTTTACTAATTGAAAAGGATAACAGACTAATAAGTTACCTTAAAAATAACAAAAACACTTAATATCGATGAAATAATCTTATAAAACATAATTGCCTAAAATAATGAAAATAATTTTAACACTTTAAATAAATAACCCTTTCAAATTATTAGAACTGATTCCGGAATTTGTTCCTGAATTTTAAAATGGGTTCTAGTTCTTATTTAAGAGGGATGTTTATTGTGATTTCGGTTCTAAATTTTGTTCCGGTTACCAGGGTTCAAGGTTTTGATTCCAAACGACATACATATAAATCAAACAAGGGTTTAATTCATTTTAATTCAATAAAATAATCTTAATTTCTTCTTCAAATTATTAATGATCCTTATTCATTGCAGAAATTATTAATAATCCTTACTCCTTGCCTAGTTAGAGAGATATTTTAAGTATTCATGGATTGTTAAATTTGATTATAAAATGACTAACCCAAACATTAAATACGATTTCCCCACCTGCTATTTTGAACGATGATTTAAACATTATGCAAAATTTTTCATCTGCTACTGTTTCTGAACCTTTTTTTTCTTGCCTTTTGATTTTTTTTAATTGCTATAGAATAATCATAAATAGGATTATAATATATTTTAATAAACCATATTTTTAAAATGGACACATAATTTATCGGCGCTAACATCATATTCCATTGTTCCTATGTGATTCAAAATTTCACCACTAGTTTGATTAAATTGAGGAAGAAATGTGGCATCATCCTTTTTCTCGAGTATCTGAGCAGCTTGATATTCGCTAAAAACAAAAAATAATTATAAAGTGTATGATAAATTTATTTAAATCCCATACCAAATTCTAATAAAACATATTAGAGATTATTGCGTCCTTTGGATCATTAATTCAAATAGTTTTGTTACTTAATAATTAAAAAAAAATACATGAAATTTTATTTATAAATATATCTAAAAAAATAAAAATAGAGAAATTATAACTCCAGGGTTCGTGATTGTTTAAAAACTGAGAGAGATTCCAAAGAAAATTAGCTAGATAGAAGCTCTAGTTTGGGATCATATCTAATTATCGATGGAGATCTATATCTGTCCAAAAATATCATTTTATCGAAATTCACTATAACTCTGATATCTCACCATCCGATAATCTACCAAACCAGACCCCGCCTACCACGCCCTTCTTTGAACCTTAAGCACCAATAGTTCCAAAGACAAAAAGAGGATCAAACAAAATAAATAGCTAAAACATAAATTTTAATTACTTCAACTACCAACCTCTGAAAAACAACAAGAGTGCAGAGCATCGTGCCTGTTATATATAATCATTTCAAACCAAATACTGATTCAGGCTAGATTGCCTACTTTCTTCCGATGTTGTAAAGCAGAACTAAATATTTGGGACCATTTTGCCTATGGTGCTAGCTATAATTGGCGTGAAAATATAGACGAGGTAGCTCGGAGTATTTTTATTTTTATAATATTTTTATTTTTCTAAAATATTAATTCTTTTAAATTTAATTATAAAATATAAAAATAATGTCAAAATATACCAGTTTTAATAAATGCTAAAATAGTAGGCAATTAATAAAAGAGTAAGGATATTGGTAGTCTGTTTATAAAACATGAGTTAATTAAATGCAGATTGATATCGATAATTTTTTAAATTTTAATATTTTTAAGGTCGACCAAATTAATAGAAGTATAAATACCCAGTCCACAGAGCATCTTTAGTGCGACCTCAAAACAAAATATGTTTAATCTGGAAGGTACCGGTATATGGAAGATTAAATAGCAACAGAAGAGAGAATATAAATCTATTGAATATCTTTAAAAATGTTTTAGAATATATCTATAGAAAATATATTTTATTATACATTTTTATATTTTAAATTTGAAAAATAAATATTTTAAATAAAGAGTCAAGTAATTAATTGTATGTTCTGATAACATTAAAAAAAATATAAGTGACCACTGAGAAAGAATCTGTTAAAAAAATTATAAAAGTAGGAAATCTAAGAAAAACAATTGGAAAAGGTATCTAAATTACAAATCTGAACGGCATCTTTATACTTCATAAAGACCCAATTTGCCATTCCCTTTATGTAAATTTTATCCTGTCTATCTCATTTTTATTTATCTTTTTACAAAAATGGGTAAATAATTTTCTATAATAAATGTCAGAGACCTGCAGGCCAGGCTCTAAGCCCGGCCCTAGGGCCGAGCCGTATTTTAATTTTTTTAAATATACCCGCGCCGGGCTTGAAAATTTTTTTAAAAAAAAAGCCGGACCGGGCCGTAAAATTTTTTTGATAAATCCGGGCCGGGCCGTGCATACCTATGCAGATCTCTGATAAATATCATTCGACAAAAAAATATTTTAAAAAAATGTGTTAAAATTAACAACCAATAGTATCCGATAACAAAAATATCATTCAACAAAAAATATTTAAAAAATAAATAAATAAAATTTAACCAATGAAATGATAGATAGCCAATGGTAATTGTGGCTCACAAACCATAATCTTACCTTTTTTTCTAATTACATATTATCTGAGTATATAATTAAACACTTGACTCTTTATTCAAAATACTAACTAATCAAATTTAAAAAATTAAAATGTATAACAAAATATATATTCTATAATGATATAAGTGACCACTGAGAAAGAATAATCTGCTAAAAAAATTTATAATTCATAAAATTACAGTTAGAAAAACAATATCAGCAAGGCATCTTTATAATCCATAAAAAATTTTACCTATTTACCCCGCCCTTTATTTAAATTTAATCCTATGCATCTCATTTTTATTTAGTTTCAAAGAATGTTGATCAAAATAAATGCTTAAGAAAATTATATAATTTTTTATAAACAATGCTTAAAATTCAGAGTTGTTAACGCTCCTTTTTAAAAGTAGCCAGCTCTCGCCTTCTCAAAAGGAGTTAGCTCCCGCCCCAAGTAATGGAGTGTCACTCCATAGCCACTCCTTTGATTCATTTTTTTAGAAAGTACAAGAAACATAATCATATTTTTTTATCTAAAACGTTTTATTTATATTAAACAGGTTTGGCATGTCGGTCAATTGCTCTAAAATATTATTGGCGAAAAAATATTTTGATATAATAACTAGTTCATTAAAAGCATGTTTATCAGTCTTATTAGGTTAAAATTTATTTAAAAATAAATTTGTACCATGAAAAGGAATCGAAAACAAAAGAATATTTTTTATTACTAAAATAAAAAAATATAATAATTTAGCTAAGCCTTATTTTTTAATAAATTTAAATTTATTTAATATTTAGCGGAGTACAAATAATATTAATTCTCATTTGTTTTACTTGCACTTGCTAAAATTGAATTTATAAATTAAATTTCTTTTTAGTTGTTCTGGTCAGATTTACAAAATAATTTATATATATTATATTTTATATAATATTATAAGCCAAATTATTGAAATAATTGGTCGATAATATGATAATTAAGATTTATTAACTTTACAATAATCAAAATCTTTTATAGTTAAATTTTATATTAGGGATTATGATCAAACCAAAGCATCAAGTTTAGAAATATTTTCAAGAAGTACGCGATGGTAAATTAGTTAAAGCGGTATGTAGGTTATGCAAGATGTCCTATATTATCCAAGTTGATAGAATGATCAAGCATTTATTAAGCAGTTGTTTGTACCATGTGCCCTGTCATAATTAAGGATTCAAATTTCAAAATAACAACCTCTACAAAAAATCACATAAATGTAATTGTTATACTTCTAGCTCTAACGAAGAATTGGGTGAAATTAGTGAGAATGATTATCAAATTGACAATATTTTGTCTTGTGACTCAAGAAAATTTGATTCCATTATCTCTGATCTATCTACAGTCAAGGCTATTAATTGTAAATCTCAATCTTGTATAACCGGTTTCATAGATCGAATAAATCTCAAAGATAAAAAATGAGCTCTCAATTATTTGCAAAGGCTATAAATGCGAGCAATTTACTTTTCCACGTCACAGAAATCCCTAAATCCAAAAATCCTTTAAAAAAAATAAGTCCCCAGGCGAAGGCAACTGGCTAGATATCTTCTAAAAAAGCGTCAGGAGATATGGAGGCGAGAGTTGCAGAAATAATAGATAAAGCTCCTCACTTATCAACTGTTTCAGATGCCTAGAGCAACATCAGAAACGAGAGTATTATTAATTTTATAATGATGACGCCTGTTCCAGTATTCTACAAATTTTTAAATACTGAGAAAAATAGCCATACGGCAGATTATATTGCCCAGGAATTTAAAATATTCTTTAGTTATTGATAATGCCGCTAACATGAAAGCAGCCTGGAGAATTTTAAAATCTGAATCTTTATACAATCATATAAAATGTTATGGTTGTGCAGCGCATACATTGCAGTTATTCTTTCACGATTTTGAACGACTTCAGTTATAATTAAAAAAATTGTTAAATTTTTCAAGAATAAGCACATACCAACTGCAGTATTTTCCCGTAATAAGAATCAAAATGGTATACCATCTACATTAAGTTAGCAAAACAAGATGGGCATCGCCAATAAAATGTATGGATCAAATACAAATAGGTAAGAAAACCCTGAAAGCATCAGTTGTTAAAGAAGCTGTATGTGATCCCATTGAAATTACTAATAATATATTAAATGAAGAAATATTTTGGACGAAAAATTTAAAATTTTTAACTATACTCCACTAACGTTTGGGGCAATATTCATATGAAAAACAGAAATCGATTGAAGACTTCTATAACAGGAAAATTAGTAAGAGTATATCATAACTTAAGGTTGATTAAAAATGTTAAAAAAAATAATAATATTGAATATGAATCGGAACAAGACTCTGCCATGGAGGGCGAAACATGAACTATGGAATGAATTAAATATATTATAAAAATTTAATATTATAGATTCTAATATTCTAATTATACAAAATAAAGTTAATATTAGAACATTTATTGAATTTGACCATATTTGACAGATCAAATATCGGTCAATTGAAGAAATCGTATTTGACCGGTAAAATGCCCAACCAGGATATTAAGTAATATATAAAAATATTTATAATCTTTTATTAGCTTTTAAAAGTAATAAATTTTCTAAATTTGAATCTAACATCCACGCCTCTCCCCTAAAACCCGTTTAGCAATACTAAACAAGCGCTCAATAGAAGCACTAGAGGGAAGCGGGGTATTGTATTTTATAAAAATACTTTTTAATTCAAAAATTTATCAAAAATCAATATATTATCTTCCTGATGATTAATTTCATGGAATCCAAAAAAATCATCCAAATAATTGCAAAGTTCCCGTGAACGCTATAGCATCAGGAATTTGTTTTCTTAAAAAATTAATTTGCATTTTAATTCCCATATTTTGTGCATTTTTTATCCATTTCCAATTTAATTTGAATGCAGCACGAATAATAGCCGCAATGATATTTTCATCATTATAAACATTTGAACTGCAATAAAGTTATTTAACTAGATACTTTATTTTTTTATTTCGATTTCTTCTTCTATGATATCTGAATCCATTATATCAAAAATTATTTTTTATCATATATCTATAAAATGAATATTAATATGACTTAAAAGATTTTTTCAATATAAAAAAAATGATGTCAAGAAGGACATCCGATTGTGAAAATCTTGCGACAAAATCTCCAAAGCATTGGCGTGGTACAGCCCAAAGTACCCTTATGCCTCATCATCCGCCTACGATAAAAAGAAGGATGGAAAATTTGGTGGAACCACGATTCGTGAAA